TGTGTGTCTGTGTGCCTGTAGATGTGTATGTGTGTGTGTGTGTGTGTTGGGGCAGGAGTGTGGGTTTTGAGCTCGTACAGATAACGTGCACCCTAAATGTGCCGTGTAAGCAATTCTCTCATGTGAAATTCAATCTGTTGTTTTATTTCTTCACCAACTGACTGCCGTTTGAATCACCCACAACCTCTGTGAACATGTGTTTCTCTACTTCAATGGTTCTCAAACTGTGTGTGCCTGTTCCACTCTAGTACTCCTCCCTCTTTGCTTCACCGGCTGTAAAGTTCTGACTGTTCTGCCACTGCTGGACCTTGGTCTTATTCCTGAACTTGACTGTTACGGGCACATCCGTTTTACATATCCGGCGTGCTTATGTGCAGACTGTTAATCATCGCTCTCATACAGATGCACTCCGACGTCAAAGGAAAAACTACATAATTAGTCGCTTTTTACGACATGCTTGTTAATGGGGCATTTAGTCTATCCTCCCCCCCCCTCCTCACCGACCCCCAATATGGGGCCTCCGAATCTACACGGATAATCCAACCCAGTACAACAATCTGTGGACATGTTATCAGAAGGTTTGGGTTCGAAAACGGTAACAATTTGCGGAATTGATGGCAAGAGAGCAAGAGAAAGGCTTACAAATAAATACCTGGATAGCCTGGCCAGATGGATGGGGCGAAACAAAAACATTGACCTGATCCGTGATGCTGGTGATCGCGTAAGATGGTGAAACATTACACAATACACAAAAGCCAATAAGTACGTTAGGAGGCGTATAAGGGCATATAAAGTTAAATAATTCAATGATCTAGCACTTTAAGCGGAGACAGCAGCAGCACCAAAAGGAAACCTCAGAGAACTTTACAGTAACACAAGAAAATTAGTAGGCAAATATATAATCAGCAAACTGGATCAATCAAAAATAGTCAAGAAAAAGTACTTACTAACACTAAATATCAAATGGACAGATGAGCCGAATATTTTGAAATACTTTTAAATAGACCAGCCCTGTCAAAATGGATGCTAGGCACGGTTACTGTTGTGAGCCGTGGCAAAGTGTTTTGCTTCTGCCAGACGGTGTCCGGTGCATTTTTGCTGCATTTGTAGACTGAAAGTATAGTTTCGTCGCCCAGCTCCTGAGTTGAGTGCATGGCGTGACACTGTGAGCTGCTGATTTCATTTGAAATGCTTTTCTACTGTGACCAACGTGTTGGTGTGAATTGTAGATTCAGAAAATGGCGCGATATCTGTTGTCGCGATGCTAGTGGTGCCAGTGGGTGATTAAAATTGATCTCGTGTGTAACTGCTGATCTTTTGGTGACTTCTGCTACCATCTACGCTGAGCTGCATTTCTAACGTCGGAATGTTTGTGTTAGCACGTCGGATGGCTACCGTATGCTTTTAATGCGTGTGTGTGTGCTAGTGCATATGCTGAGACAGCAGTCTGTCAATCTTTTCACAAGGGACTGTGATAAACATTCTGTGTGTTTTTAGTTGGCACAGGAGCGGAGCAACTATGGGGTGACCCGTTTGCTATGAAGCTGAAACTAAAATTACCAGATTAACAGACCAGTCCCAGAGGTTCCTCCAGATATCCAGCCTTTAGAAATGGAACTGGACATCAACTGTGAGATACCATCTAAAGAGGAAATTAGAAAAGCTATCAATCTTCTCAAGGAAGGAATGGCAGCAGATCCAGATGGTATCCCATCAGACGCCATTAGGGCCAACATAAACACATCAACCGAATTGCTACATAGATTATTCAGTAAAGTCTGGGAAACCGAAGAAATACTAGCAAACTGGAAAGAAAGATATCTTGTGAAATGCCCCAAAAAAGTAATCTATAGAAGTATAAAAACTATAGAGGAATTATGTTGCTGTCAGTTCCTGGAGAAACATTAAGTATAATTATTTTGGAAATATTAAAAGATGCTATGCCGGCGTAATGCTGGCCACATTACCCACCCAGTGCCGATTGACCACATGACCCACCTAGTGCCGATTGACCACATGACCCACCTAGTGCCGATTGACCACATGACCCACCTAGTGCCGACTGACCACATGACCCACCTAGTGCCGACTGACCACATGACCCACCTAGTGCCGACTGACCACATTACCCACCTAGTGCCGACTGATCATATTACCCACCTAGTGCCGATTGGTCTGTAAAAATATGAATGCTCTTCCCATGTGCCCGATGTGCCTAAGGCGTGAAAAGGGATCTTTACCATTTATTTACTTAAAAGATGCTATTGATAAAATGCTAAGAGATGAACAGGCAGGTTTTCGGTCAAACGCATCCTGTACTGACCAGATAGCCACATTATGTATAATAATATAGCAAAGCATTGAATTAAATACACCTCTTTTCATTGGATTCAAAGACTATGAAAATGCATTTGACAGCATTGATAGGGAATCTCTCTGGAAATTGATGGGGCACTATGGAATCCCACATACAATTTTTAACTTAGTAAAGGCAACATGT